CTGGCGCCTTGCCCACCCGTGGCACCACGGGCCCGCCCGCCCACCCGCCCCACGCCTGCCTTGGTGTAGTGGAACTGCATGGGGTCGTCGGTGGACAGGGACACCATCAGGCCCTTCTGGTGGAAGTCCAGCAGCGGGTTCTTGGCGTACTCCAGGAAGAGGCTGTTGTTGCTGAGCGGGGACATGGCGATGGGGATCTGGGCCAGGAAGTAGAGATACTGCAGCACCGGGCTCTGCGGGCACAGCGGGCGTCAGGGAGCACGTCCCAGGCTGGAGGCTATGCCCCACGCTTGTAGGGCACCCAGCCCGGGCCCTCGGGGCCACAAGCCTGAGCCCTGCCAGGTCAGCAGCGGGGAGAGGCCAGCCCAGCCCAGCCCTGCAGCCGCCCTTCACCTTCTTCAGGTTCAGGCCATGGGAGATGTTGTCCGCCGTCATGAAGGCTGCGAGCAGGTGCGTTATGGCCCCCGCTTCCCCGCAGTGCGGGCGGAACAGGAAGGTGTTCAGGCCGCGCTCCCTGGGGACAGGCGCACAGTGGCAGGCAGGCACCGGCACGGAGCGACAAGGCCGTGGCCGGGCGGGAGCCGCACACGAGACCCTGCGCTCCGCTCCGGCCTGCCCACGGCGCCTGGCTCACCTGCGCAGGTTGTTGAGCACCAGGATGTTGGCATACATGTAGTACACGTAGTAGGTGTAGGACGGGTTCTTCTCGTGCGTCCACTCCTGTGGCTTGGGGCTCTTGGTGGAGAACATGTGCCCGCTGTGCTTGGACTCGTCGTCCACGCTGTCAAAGCCTGTGATCTGCCCCGGCAGCGAGTGGGGAGAGGGGTCAGCCCCTGGCATCCCACACCCCAGCACAGCAGGCCCCACGGCAAAGCGGGGGCAGCACTGGACGCTGCCGGGCAGCCGTGCAGGAGGGCACCTGGGGCGGGCCTCGTGCCAGGGTGGGCATGGACCAAACCGCTGGGCTGGGCAAACTGCAAATGCAGGAGCAGGTGAAGCTCCTGTGGCACCCCCATCTCTGCCTCCCGCTCTCCCGCTGGCTGCAGCAGCCAGCTGAGCTCCAACGTCCCGCGGTCCCTCAGGTCATAGTTTCATAGTTGGTCGGGTCGGAAGGGACCTGAGCAGATCATCAAGTCCGACCCCCTGCCCTGGCAGGAAAGAGCGCTGGGGTCTAACGACCCCAGCGAGATGTTCGTCTAACCTCCTCTTATAGACCCCCAGGGTAGGAGCCGGCACCACCTCTCTTGCAAGCTGGTTCCAGATCCTAGCCGCCCTGACCGTGAAGTCGCGCCTCCTGATGTCTAGCCTGAATCTGCCCTCTGCCAGCTTGTGACCGGTATTCCTTGTCACTCCTGGTAGTGCTGGGGGGAACAGGGACTCCCCCAATGCCTGCTGGTCTCCCTGACTAGTTTGTAAACAGCCACTAGGTCCCCTCAGCCTTCTCTTGTGGAGGCAGAACAGGTTCAGGTCCCGTCGCCTCTCCTCGTAGGGCCTGCCCTGCTGCCCCCGGATCATGCGAGTGGCCTCCTCTGGACCCGCTCCACACTGGCCACATCCCTCCTGCAGTGCGGCGCCCAGAACTGGACGCAGTACTCCAACTCGGCCTGACCAGTGTCGCATCGAGGGGGAGGATCACCTCCTTGGACCTGCTCGAAAGGAGGCATCTGTGGATGCACGACAAGGTGCGGTTGGCCTTCCTGCCCGTGTCTCCACACTGTCGGCCCATGTTCATTTTGGCATCAATAACGACTCCAAGATCCTTCTCTGCCTCTGCGCTGAGGAGAAGGGAGTTCCCCAGCCTGTAGGTATGCTGCTGGTACCTCCTCCCCAGGTGCAGCACCTTGCGCTTGTCAGTGTTGAACCCATCCTGTTCTCATCCGCCCACCCCTGGAACCTGTCTAGGTCCGATTGCAGCCTATTCCTCTCTTCTAGCGTGCCCACTTCCCCCCACATCTTAGTGTCATCAGCAAATTTGAACAGGGTGCTTTTCACCCCCTTGTCCAAGCCGCTGATGGAGATGTTGAACAGCGCGGGCCTGAGGACCGAGCCCTGGGGGACCCCACTGCCCACAGCCCTCCAGGTCAAATAAGACCCGTCCACCACCACTCTCTGGGTGCGGCCCTCCAGCCAGTTAGCGACCCAATTGACTGTAGGTGTCGACGCCACAGTCCCCTAGTTTTTTGATGAGAATGGGGTGAGAGACAGTGTCGAAGGCCTTCCTGAAGTCCAGAAAGACTACGTCCACCGCGACACCTGAGTCCAGGGCTTTTGTGACCTGGTCGTAGAAGGCACCAGGTTGGTCTGACAGGACCTGCCCCTAAAGAGCCCATGTTGGTTGCCCCTGAGCATAACCTCCCCTGCCAGCCCCTCGCAGATGTGCTCCCGGATAACCCTCTCAAAAAGCTTGCCCAGGACGGAGGTAAGACTGACGGGCCTGTAGTTTCCTGGGTCCTCCTTCCTCCCTTTTTGGAAAATGGGAACCACACTGGCCCTTCTCCCTCCTCGCAGCACCATGCCCTGCATGGCACTCACATGTCGCAGGAAGACACTCAGCTCCTTATTGGCGCGTGGGTTGAGGGTAGCCTTGAAAATGGGCACGAACACGTTCTCCAGCATCTTTCCGAAGTGCGGGAGGAAGTTCTTAGCCCTGAACACGTCGCTGGGACAGAGTGTGGGGTGAGCCTCCCTGCCGCCCGGCCTGGCTCCCCCGCCCCCATTGCCCAGCCAAGCCCAGCACCTACTAGATGCGGGGCACCTGGATCATCCACTTCATGTTGGGGGAGTAGACGCGGTGCTTGTTGAACCAGGTGGCCAGGTGGTCCCACTCGCTGGGCGAGCGCCCGTAGATGGAGAGCCGGGGCTCCGCATACTGGTACTTGGCATCCTCCAGGTCAGAGCCGACCTCCTGCGGGCACAAGGGAGCACGATCAGGCTGCGCCAGCTGGACCGCGAGGCCCCTGCCACCCGAGCACCCCCACCTTGATGATGGTGGCGAAGTACTCGCCATCGATGGCATTCTCCGTCTTCAGGTAGAGGTCACGCAGCTCGCTGGCACCCACCGGGTTGTACTTGGCATTGAACTTGTCGAAGCGCTGGAAGGTCTGGCGGCCCTGGAGTGCCACCCGGTGTCAGGCCAGGCGAGCGCGGCACCGGGCGACAAAGGAGGGGACTGCCAGGGAAGGAAAACCCTAGAAGGACCGAAGGACTCACAGCGTGGACGTCCAGGGAGTCCACGGTCAGGTCGTAGGGGTGCAGGTTGAGCTCTGCGAAGACCTCCTTCAGGGTGAGCGTCTTGCCCTTGGCCTGGAAGACGGTGCGGTCGGCATCCACGCGGTACGACTTCTTGATGAAGCGCAGCAGGTGCTTCTGGTTCATGCAGGCCGCGGCGTGGATGTGCGTGTCCACCTGCCCGGGCACGGGGAGCGGTCAACCCAGACAGGCCGGAGTCCACACGTCCAGGAGGCCTGCGTGGCTCCCCGAGGCAGGGCTCGTGGGGGCGGCCCCTGCCTCCTGCGCAGCCACGGCCTGTAGGCTCCCACGCTGCGGCCCCGTGGGGTGGGGGAAGCGTGGCTCCCGGGGGTGCAGTCCGCGGCTGGGCCCCGTGGCCCCAGCGCAGCCCCTCGCCGGCCGCCTGTACCTTACGGCAGTTGTAGAAGTCGCGGTGGGGGTTGTTCTTCAGCTCCTTCAGCTCCTCCATCTCGTTCAGCATCTCGTGCAGATTGAACTTGGAGGACAGGAACTTGAGGCGCCGGTGGGCGTAGGTCTTGCTGGTGAGCAGAGGAACGCCGGCCCGGGCCGTGGCGCTGTGGGGCTGGTGTCCCGGCTCCTCCGCGGAGGTGTCCGGGCCCCCCACAGGGTTCACACAGCGCCCGGCCCCGTGGCACGGCCAGCAGCGGCAATGCAGATACGGGGTGGAAGCGAGGCCCTGGCCTCGCACCGGGACGTGGGGGACAAGGCCGGGCCGGGCACTCACACAGGGCCCTGGGCGATGAGAGCGAGCAGGAAGTTCATGTCGTTGATGAAGCCCTCCAGGTCAGGGTAGGGCAGGTCCTTGGGCTGGCCCCGGCCGGGCGCCGCGGCGTCAGCATAGACGTAGGCCACGCCGTCCTGCATCTGTACGTGGTAGCCCAGGTCCTCGGGGAGGTTGTCCGACTGGAACGGGTCCTCCCCCTCCTTCAGCGGGGGATTGAACACTGCGCCGGAGCGAAGCGCCGTGAGCCCAGGCGCCGTGCCCGCCCCAGG